GTCCACCATACTGCCCCGAACTACATCACCGACCTAATATCCAAGTACCGCCCAGCACGCACACTCCGCTCCTCACAAGACCTCCTTCTTTCTAGTTCCCTGGTCTCCTCCTCCCATGCCCGCCTCCAGGACTTCTCCAGGGTGTCACCCATCCTCTGGAACTCCCTGCCCCAACCCATCAGATTATCACCTACTCTCCTCTCCTTTAGGTGCACCCTGAAAACCCATCTCTTCAGGGAAGCCTACCCCACCCCCTGCTAACCTGCCGACCTCCTCTACTCTTCCTACCACTCCATCCCCCACAGCTATCTCCTCCTGTGCCACCATCCCCTCCCTCCTAGATTGTAAGCTCGAAAGAGCAGGGCCCTCGATCCCCTCATGTTTTGCATTGTATTGGTATTGTTCTGTCACATGTTCTGTCCCCCTTTGTAATGTACAGCGCTGAGCGAACTATTGGCGCTTTATAAATACTGTATAATAATAATAATCACTCAATTCTGCAAGTAGTTCTAATTTACTATCGCTGTTCTCTAGCTGGTCTAAAACCGCTTTTGACATAAAGGGACGCTTTTTGGACGCCATGGACGTTTCTCAGTTTCCAGGCAGAAAGAACAGTAAAAATGCAGGCAGGGCACAGGACAAAGCACTCAGGACAAAATGAATGTGAAATGGTTTGATACAGTAATGTTTTACTATGTGATTTTAGTGTATTTAGTGAATGTCACTTTTTGTCATTTTCAAATTTCCCGCCGTTCCATCCCCCGTACGTCCCGACGCTCGCAGAGGACGGAACCAAGATGACAGATGCGGGCATTGGCAGGAGGACATTGCCGGGGACACTGCAGGGGGGACATCGCGGGAGCGCAGGACAAGGTAATTGAAGAAGAGATCCTGGAGCAGCGCTGCAAGGTATTCCCGAGTGTAGCTCGGGGTTACCGCTTGTGGTACTGAAACTTTACCCCGAGCTACACTCGGGAATACAACCAGGGAGGTTAAAGTAGATTGTACAGTGTATGGCCAGCTTTAGTCTAGGGGAGTCTGGCAACCAGCGCACTGTTCTCCCCCTGTGCTCCAGCTGTGGACTGTTGGTCCCTCCCCTCCAATGCAAGGATATGGGCTCTGCATTGGACTTGACGATCAGAGACATCAGCGGACCAGTGACTGGCAGAGTGTAGGAGAGAAGAGATTGCAGAGTATGGTCTAACCAAGGGAGAGCCTGCAGGAGTGGAGGATCGGGTAAGTTAACCCCTTGGTGCCGGCGCTTCCCAGCCCTTTAAGGGGTTTGTGACGCTGGGAGGTGGGGTGGGGTTTAGGGTCATGTGACCACCGTGATTGGCTGTCACATGACCAGAAAGCTCCTGACCACAAGTAGCGATTGGGACCTTTCCGTGAAGTGCCAGTAAATGTGCCGGGAGCGTGCAGGACGTGTGCTCTCGGCATTTCTTATGTTTACATTGGGTATGCAAATATGTGGCCCCTTGGCACCAAGGTCCAACCCCCGAGAAGCCGCATATTTGTGTGCACTTGGCGCCAAGGAGTTAAACTAATTTTTTTCAGCCCTAGACCTAAACAAGCATTTATCCCTTGCAGTGCTGAGGCAAATGTTGTCTAACTGCAAGATACATGTGTATTCTTCCTTGCATCTTGGTGTGCTTTGTGTATTTCTTCCAGATCTGTGCAATCTATTGTGAAACTTTGCCTCTGTGCAGGAGCTTCCTGTAATAAAGACCAGTCACTGCTGCTCTCTCTCTCCTTGTGCAGGGTGACTGGTCTTGTCTCCTCCCCCCCTCCTGCAGTTTTCTGCAGGCAGCCTTTGGTGGGTGGGGCCTGCTGGGTCCCCCCACAGTCCTGTCTCCTCCCCCTTCTGTAGTTTTCTGCTGGCAACCTTTGGTGGGTGGGTGGGGCCTGCTGGATCCCTCCCACAGTCTTGTCCCCTCCCCCTCCTGTAGTTTTCTGCAGGCAGCCTTTGGTGGGTGGGGCCTGCTGGGTCCCTCCCACAGTCTTGTCTCCTCCCCCCTCCTGTAGGCAACCTTTGGTGGGTGGGGCCTGCTGGGTCCCTCCCACAGTCTTGTCTCCTCCCTTTTGTAGTTTTCATCAGGCGGCCTTTGGTGGGTGGGGCCTGCTGGATCCCTCCCACAGCTTTGCTGTCTGCACAGGTTATGTACGATACTTCTACAAAGTAATATCTGGGTTTGCAAAGGCCTTTGCTGCGCACACAGTGGATTTATATCCTTTATTGCTTTGGAGGAATATATTTAAATGAAATTATTTTCATTCAGCTATACATAATGTTTCACTTTAAAGGCTAAGTCCACCTTTTACAATAAAATTCTAAATACTTAGGTATTTGCTAATAAAAAAATGCACATTGATTGTTTTTTGCAAATGGGCCTGAATAGTATTGTCATGGTGAAGAGTAGATTGTGGTGCAATGCTGACTCCTGCAGACTCTTCCTCCAAGTCCCTGTCCATACCGAGGTACAGGCTTACAATTGCTGAGCTGGAGGATGTGTCCATAGACTGTGAGTATTGGGATTACCACACTAAGAACTGCAAGTCTGTCTGCTGCATTGGCGGAGGGGATTTGTAGTTCATTCATTTACATATTTCTGTGATTGAAAGACGTGGCTGTGTGGACTGAGCTGATTTGACAAGGAGATGCGGCTGTGGGGGAGAACCCCTGAGAACTGTCACAAGAAGAGATGGTGTGGGGGTTGGGGGGGGGGTCCCATTTGAACCATGTTACACCTTAAAGGGTTACTTCGCCATTTCAGAAAAAATCAAAAGGTGAACTTACACCCCACGCTCCTGGTCCCCACTGTACTTACCTTTGTGGGTGATGAGCTGTCAGTCCCATACAGTGAGTTAAGCAGTCAGGAAACTGAAATCCCTATTCCTCTCCCAGGGGCGGACTGACCATTTGGAAACTCGGGCACTGCCCGAGGGCCCAGGGTCAGTAGGGGGCCCCATGAGATGCTCCTGGTACCTTTTTCATAGGCTTTTTTGAGTTTGGGCAAGGACACAGGGGCCCCAAGATCCCCTATTGCCCGGGGGCCCCATGAGTTGTCAGTCCGCCCCTTCTCTCCACTTTCTCTCTGTAGGGCTTCCAGGACAAATCAGAGCAATTCTTTGTGTCAGCATTGACCAATCAAAATCGTTCTGATCCATCTGAGAAGCCCTCCAGAAAGAAGGGGGAGAAGAGCGGAGATTTCAAATCCCCAGATCACTACACTGGCTGCAGGGATACTGACAGCTGATCACCAACAGTTGCAAGTACAGTGGGGGGGACTGTGTTAGTTCACCTTTTAAATTTTCTTTGAGAAGGCAAACTTGCACTTTTAAATACAGGTGTAATCTGCAAGGTCTCTTTCAGACAGGTGCTCAAGGTGTGCTAAACATGGACAGCTGAGCTGTGATTTTACCACCCTCCACCCCCTGGCCTCCCACCTAAATTGCTTGTCAAACTGAGTTCAATGGGGCTGCGCCAAAACCACATGTGATGCATGTGATTGCAGCGTGTTAGTGTGGCATTAATCAGGCAGTGAAGAGGCGATATAACACCACTCCACTGCCTGTACAATGACATCTGAAAAGCGATCTGACTGTGGATTGCTCTTCAGAGGGCATCATACTCCACTGCGAATGTGAAACAGCCCTGACATGTTGCAAAAGGTGGAGTTAGCCTTTGAATCGTGTCAAGTGTTGATTGCAGGCGCCTTTGTTCTGTTCATTTGCTTTTCCTTTCAAAAGATTTGAAAATTGTCCTATTTATTGTCAGAATTTGTTTGATTTCAAGAGATCTTTATTCTAGCTTTTTAGATCTAAACACATGTGGGAAGGTTGGGGGGGGGGGGTACAAAATGGGGCTCTCCCTCCCTAAGGAGGACAGCTGAGGGCTGCTTTCTACAACGTCACTTGACATTGAATATCACAGTGGGCACTGAGGTGTACAGCGAGTGACCACTCTACCTCAGAGACGTCAATATGTGTGTCACTGCGCTCTGCCCTCCACACTACACAGGAGGAGGAGGTTGTGATGTCAGAGCTGTGTATGGAGGGACTTTCCAGTTCATACACACTGGGTGAACTCCTCCCTGCAATTCTCTGCCTGTATGTCACTACAAGAAGAAGGCTGAGCACTTGGACTTTCCTCTTCCTCTATGGAGAAGTGACAGTGCTGACAAGGACTCCTGTACCTCTAGGACTATTCCAGGTCAGTGCTGGATAGGTCTTCCTTCTGCAGTGTGGACACATCCCTCTAAGGACTACAGTGGTCAGGATCCCTCTACAGGACCCCTCACATCCATACCAGTTCCCGTCATAGGGAGACTGTCCCATCACGTCGTACAGAAAACATGGCAGGTAAGTGCCCAGCGTACACCTATTCTTCAAGTATATGTAAGGGCTCATTCACACAGCGGCTCAGCCCTGTCCACCATCTAGAGCCCTTTGTTTACTTCTTATACTAACGTATGCAGACAGCCTATATAAAGCTGGCCATACAAAATACAATCTGATTGTACAATCTCCTTTAGATCAATGTGCAATTCGAACAAAAACATCAAGTGATCAAAAAGCCAGAACTTCCCTTCTAATTGATTTAGATTCAAACAAACTGAATCGATCAGTCAAGGTGGAAAATTACCAGTCGATGTGTAGCACTGCTTAGGTCATGCATCTGAATGTATTTCAGAAGGTCAGATTGTGAGACTTCATAGCGAAAACAGAAATGTGATTAATGTATAATCCTATCTGCCAACAAACAAATGGAATCCACCTCCCTCTGTATGGCACATTGATCAATTGTGTTGTCGACTATAGATCGATTGTACCCATAGATCAATTATTCCTATAGGGAGTGCAAGATCAGAAAAGAAATCAATAATTGATCAAAGTGTGCATGGCCACCATGAGGGACAACATGACTGAATACAAATGATTAGTTAGATAACATAGAACCTCATTTTTGTCAGTGTAGTGCAGGGATGGACTGACAACTCATGGGGCCCCCGTGCAATAGGGGATCATGGGGCCCCTGGGTCCTAGCCCAAACTCAAAAAAACCTATGAAAAAGGTACCAGGGGCATCTCATGGGGCCCCCTACTGACTCGGGCCCTCGGGCAGTGCCCGAATTTCCAAATGGTCAGTCTGCCCCTGGTGTAGTGACAATCAGTGTGAATGCAGTGTAACAATCAGTGTGACAGTCAATGTGAATGCAGTGTGGCAGTCAGTGTGAATGCAGTGTGACAGTCAATGTGAATGCAGTGTGACAGTCAGTGTGAATGCAGTGCGACAATCAGTGTGATGACAGTCAGTGTGATTGCAGTGTGACAGTATGATGACAGTCAATGTGAATGCAGTGTGGCTGTCAGTGTGAATGCAGTGTGACAGTCAATGTGAATGCAGTGTGACAGTCAGTGTGAATGCAGTGTGACAGTGTGATGACAGTATGATGACAATGTGAATGCAGTGTGACAGTCAGTGTGAATGCAGTGTGACAGTCAGTGTGAATGCAGTGTGACAGTGTGATGACAGTATGATGACAATGTGAATGCAGTGTGACAGTCAGTATGATGACAGTCAGTGTGAATTCAGTGTGGCAGTCAGTGTGAATGCAGTGTGACAGTGTGATGACAGTTAGTATGATGACAGTCAGTGTGAATGCAGAGTGACAGTCAGTATGATGACAGTCAATGTGAATGCAGTGTGGCAGTCAGTGTGAATACAGTTTGACAGTTCAATGATAGTTAGTATGATGACAGTGTGAATGCAGTGTGACAATCAGTGTGATGACAGTCAGTGTGAATGCAGTGTGACAGTCAGTGTGGATGCAGTGTGGCAGTCTGTGTGAATGTGACAGTGTGATGACAGTTAGTATGATGACAGTCAGTGTGAATGCAGTGTGGCAGTGTGATGACAGTCAGTGTGAATGCAGTGTGACAATCAGTGTGATGACAGTCAGTGTGAATGCAGTGTGGCAGCGTGATAACAGTCAGTATGATGACAGTCAGTGTGAATGCAGTGTGACAATCAGTGTGATGACAATCAGTGTGAATGCAGTGTGGCAGAGTGATGACAGTCAGTGTGAATGCAGTGTGACAATCAGTGTGATGACAGTCAGTGTGAATGCAGTGACAATCAGTGTGATGACAGTCAGTGTGAATATAGTGTGGCAGTGTGATGACAGTATGATGACAATCAGTGTGAATGCAGTGACAATCAGTGTGATGACAGTCAGTGTGAATGTAGTGTGGCAGTGTGATGACAGTTAGTATGATGACAATCAGTGTGAATGCAGTGACAATCAGTGTGATGACAGTCAGTGTGAATGTAGTGTGGCAGTGTGATGACAGTTAGTATGATGACAGTGTGAATGCAGTGTGACAGTCAGTATGATGACAGTCAGTGTGAATTCAGTGTGGCAGTCAGTGTGAATGCAGTGTGACAGTGTGATGACAGTTAGTATGATGACAGTCAGTGTGAATGCAGAGTGACAGTCAGTATGATGACAGTCAATGTGAATGCAGTGTGGCAGTCAGTGTGAATACAGTTTGACAGTTCAATGATAGTTAGTATGATGACAGTGTGAATGCAGTGTGACAATCAGTGTGATGACAGTCAGTGTGAATGCAGTGTGACAGTCAGTGTGAATGCAGTGTGGCAGTCTGTGTGAATGTGACAGTGTGATGACAGTTAGTATGATGACAGTCAGTGTGAATGCAGTGTGGCAGTGTGATGACAGTCAGTGTGAATGCAGTGTGACAATCAGTGTGATGACAGTCAGTGTGAATGCAGTGTGGCAGCGTGATAACAGTCAGTATGATGACAGTCAGTGTGAATGCAGTGTGACAATCAGTGTGATGACAATCAGTGTGAATGCAGTGTGGCAGAGTGATGACAGTCAGTGTGAATGCAGTGTGACAATCAGTGTGATGACAGTCAGTGTGAATGCAGTGACAATCAGTGTGATGACAGTCAGTGTGAATGTAGTGTGGCAGTGTGATGACAGTTAGTATGATGACAATCAGTGTGAATGCAGTGACAATCAGTGTGATGACAGTCAGTGTGAATGTAGTGTGGCAGTGTGATGACAGTTAGTATGATGACAGTGTGAATGCAGTGCGACAATCAGTGTGATGACAGTCAGTGTGAATGCAGTGTGACAGTGTGATGACAGTATGTGTTAGGACAGTCAGCGTGAGTGCAGTGGGACAGTTGGTGTGAATGCAGTGCAACAGTCAGTGTAACAGAAGTATGACAGTCTGTGTGACAGTGAGAGTGTAGTAGGAGAGTCAGGGGGAATGCATTGTGACAGTGTGAGTATTTCTCAGTGAAATAAACAGATTTGTCATTATTTATTAATTAATATAAAAAATATAATTAATTTAAAAAAAAGGATTTTACTATGACATTCGCTGTCAAAGAAAGAGGTGACTTTATTGGGAATTGCCATTATACTGGATATACTGTGTATGTCGTGAATTATTAACAGTAAAAACTAAGACACTGGTTTAATAATGAACTACGTTTTACACAAGCAGATTGTGGTGAGCGCTGGTTTCACTGATCCAGCACAGAAACAAATCTCCACCTTCTTTTTTATATTTCAATTCATTTTAAAAGTATTCTTTGCAGTGTATTTTTTTTTTCGACGCAAGGTATTTTCTAGCATTTGGCCGAAACCAAAAAATAAATAAGTAATGAAAACTAAAAAGGAGAAGTTCTCTTTGCTCACTGTTTGTCACGAGAAATGAGAGGAACACTTCCCTAACAGATACGAAAAAAAAAAAACCTTGTGAGTCACATAGCGGTCAGATATATTCTTGGAGTAATGCCATTCTAGAGTAAGAAGTTGCCTTACATGAGTGATAGCTGCATATTACAGAGGTGGGCAGGCTGAATTCTGATCCCGGGGTCCTATCATCGACTGTGACGTGTGATAGCCGCATATATTACAGAGGTGGGCAGGCTGAATTCTGATCCCAGGGTCCTATCATCGACTGTGACGTGTGATAGATGCACATTACAGAGGAGGGCAGGCTGAATTCTGATCCCGGGGTCCTATCATCGACTGTGACGTGTGATAGATGCACATTACAGAGGAGGGCAGGCTGAATTCTGATCCCGGGGTCCTATCATCGACTGTGACGTGTGATAGATGCATATTACAGAGGTGGGCAGGCTGAATTCTGATCCCAGGGTCCTATCATCGACTGTGACGTGTGATAGATGCACATTACAGAGGTGGGCAGGCTGAATTCTGATCCCAGGGTCCTATCATCGACTGTGACGTGTGATAGATGCACATTACAGAGGTGGGCAGGCTGAATTCTGATCCCAGGGTCCTATCATCGACTGTGACGTGTGATAGATGCACATTACAGAGGTGGGCAGGCTGAATTCTGATCCCAGGGTCCTATCATCGACTGTGACGTGTGATAGATGCACATTACAGAGGTAGGCAGGCTGAATTCTGATCCCAGGGTCCTATCATTACCTATGAAATGCTTATATTCATTGCCCCCCATTCACACCATTATCCTCAATGGGCCTGTTCACACTTGAGTGTTGTGTCGTTTCTCCTGTTAAGGTCGAAAAGGTACATGGGCTTCTTTGGGGCACAATCGTGGTTTTGGCCCCATAGACTTTAATAGGAGCAGGTCAAAAAGCAGGATTTTACTTTCGTTCTAGATGAAGTGCAGAAAAAAAAAACCTTACCTGGCTATACTCACACTAAATTTGAATGGGTGATTAAAGTAGACCTTACCTTATTACAGGGACACCAGCTTCATACTACAGGTGGCTGCTTACTTTATCTTCATAGTGCACAGGCACCTCCAAAACTGTGGAACACTACTATGCAAGCATTGACCACAATTTTTATGTATAATATTTGGATCCCACCCATGTCTTCCTGTTGATCATCGAGGCCACCCATTGCATTCTTACATTGGTAGTCAGAGGAAAATGACTCCTTAACCACTTCAATATCAGGCACTTATACCCCCTTCCTGCCCAGGCCAAATGTCAGCTTTCAGAGCTGTAGCACTTTGAATGACAATTGCGTGGTCATGCAACACTGTACCCATATGACATTTTTATAATTGTTTTCACACAAATAGAGCTTTCTTTTGGTGGTATTTAATCACCACTGAGTTTTTTTTTTTTTTTTTTTTTTGCTAAATAAGACAAAAAACACCTGAAACTTTTGAAAAAAAAAATGCACTTTTCTTTGTTTCTGTTATAAAATTTTGCAAATAAATAACATTTCTTCATAAGTTTAGGTCAAAATGTATTCTGCAATATTTATTTGGCGAAAATAATAATAATAATTGAATTTGTATTTTTTTTTCAAATGTTTCTATTATTTTTTTCTTTTCATAAAATTTTTTATTTTTTTTACTATTTTATTTTTCAGCACACTGTGACCAAAACAATACAATGTTATCATAGTAACATTGAACTACTCTGGGCAAGTGATCTGGATATTTTTTTTAAAACATTATGATTGCTAATACCAATGTATTCCATTGATATTTGCAATCATTGTTACTGAATGAAACTGATTCATTCAGTCTTTTGTTGTGATTAGCTGTGATTGGGCAAAGCTGATCACATGATACAGGTGGGCTGTGGATAGCCCTGTCTGTATCATGTGACTGCCTTAACCAGTCACAGCTAACAACATAATTGTATACAATGGATGGCATGGCAGGAAGCCATCCATTGTATACAATTGACATGTGATCTGTTGTGATTGGTCAAAGCGGTCACATGACACTGGCAACGGGCCGGTGTAGTGATATGTCTTCGGCTGTGTCCTGCGCTGTTTTTAAAAAGTGACAGCTAGTACGGCAAACTTCTCCACGTACTTCTGTCACAGGGAGGGGTGTAACATGTTCCCAAAGGTGAACTTATCCTTTAAATTGGTGGAAAATTGCCCACAATACCCCTTACAATGGTGGTCAGATGAAAACTGTCCATATTACTGCAGCACAGTGGCTAAGTGGTTAGCACTTCCACCTGGCTAGTACTAGGGTCATTGGTTCGAATTCCAGCCACGGCACCACCTGCCTGGAGTTTGCATGTTCTCCCTGTGCCTGCATGGGTTTCCTCCGGGTTCTCCAGTTTCCTCCCACACTCCAAAGACATTCTGGTAGGTTAATTGGATCCTGTTGAAATTGTCCCTAGTATGTGTATGTATGAATGTAAGTTAGGGACCTTAGATTGTATGGTCCTTGAGGGTTAGGGACTGATGTGAATGTACAATGTATATGTGAAGCACTGCGTAAATTGACTGCGCTATATAAGTACCTATAATAAATAAATATTACTCCTTGCTAACCCCCTCCCCTGAGACGAGTTCATCAGTTGGTGTCTTATTGTATACAGTTGTGGCCAAAATTATTCAACCCCCAATGCTGTAAAGGGGTTTAGGGACTATAGTGTACATTTGGAATTGTATTCAGAATCAAATCCTACAAGGACGTTGTAACTACCCAAATGCAACTAAAATGACATCAATTGTTTATGTAATACAGTAGTAAATGGTTCTTATGTGGTTTCTTCATTGCCACAATTATTCAACCCCTTAAAGACTACCACTCTGAAGAACAGAGGTTCATACAGGTGCTTTCCATCAGGTATTGAAAACACCTGTGGATGTCACCGAGCAGCAATCAAGCATAATAAGCACCAATTAGGCAGCTTTAAAATGACTGTGATACTCAGCTCCTTCTAGACATTTACTGGTGTGGTTACAAACATGGTGAAGGCAAGAGAATGGTCCAGGAAGACAAGAGAAGAGGTGATTTCTCTTCACAGGAAGGGCAATGGCTATAAGAAGATTGCAAAGATGTTAAACATACCAAGAGACACCTTAGGAAGCATCATTCGCAAATTCAAGGCAAAGGGCACTGTTGAAACGCTACCTGGTCGTGGCAGAAAGAAGATGCTGACTTCGACTGCTGTGCGCTACCTGAAGCGTAGAGTGGAGAGAAGTCCCCGTGTGACTGCTGAGGAACTGAGAAAAGATTTGTCAGATGTGGGTACAGAAGTTTCAGCCCAGACAATAAGACGCACACTGCGTAATGAAGGCCTCCGTGCCAGAACTCCCAGGCGTACCCCCTTGCTGTCTCCAAAGAATAAGAAGAGTCGACTGCAGTATGCCAAAAGCCATGTGGACAAACCACAAAAGTTGTGGGATAGTGTTCTGTGGACTGATGAAACAAAATTAGAACTGTTTGGGCCCATGGATCAACGCTATGTGGAGGAGGAAGAACAAGGCCTATGATGAAAAGAACACCTTGCCTACTGTGAAGCATGGTGGAGGGTCAATCATGCTTTGGGGCTGTTTTGCTTCTGCAGGTACAGGGAAGCTTCAGCGTGTGCAAGGTACCATGAATTTCTTCTCTTCAGTACCAGGAGATATTGGATGGAAACGTGATGCAGTCCGTCACACACCTGAGGCTTGGGAGACGTTGGACCTTTCAACAGGACAATGATCCCAAGCATACCTCCAAGTCCACTAGAGCATGGTTGCAGAGGAAAGGCTGGAACATTTTGGAGTGGCCATCGCAGTCACCAGACTTAAATCCGATTGAGAACCTCTGGTGGGACTTAAAGAAAGCAGTTGCAGTGCGCAAGCCTAAGAATGTGACTGAACTGGAGGCCTTTGCCCATGAAGAATGGGCGAAGATACCCGTAGATCGCTGCAAGACACTTGTGTCAAGCTATGCTTCACGTTTAAAAGCTGTTATAACTGTAAAAGGATGCTGTACTAAGTACTAAGATTGAATGTCACTTGGGGTTGAATAAAACTGATAATGCTGTGAGCACAGAAAAGACATTTGTGGTTATTTTCATTATAATGTTATGTTATATTTGTCTGACCTACAAGTGCCTCTTTAATGTAAATGTAAGCAAGATGACTGAATGATCAAAAGCAATGTCAAACTGGCCAAAACACTCAATTTCAGTGGGGGTTGAATAATTTTGGCCACAACTGTACATGCATCCAAGGTCAACATGTATTACTACAGTCCTTTTGGGAGTATAAAGCGGGTGGCTACACATGCAAGTAAAACAAATGTGGCCACCCTCCTTTATGAAGTTACACATGTGAACATTTTGCATTTACTTTTAAGGATGTGCTGACATGGTGACTTTATGGAAAGCTACCAATAAAGGTATTGATTATAAAAAAAAATTTTTGGGTTTAGTTTCACTGTTAATGACAAATACTGCAGAAAAAAGCACATGTGTGTTTAACCAATCAAGCAGATATTTTTGTCTATGAATTCTTTATGATGCAGGTAACTATAAGCAGGCCAGGGGTGTTACATTACCTACATACCTTATAGTAAATGGTGTCCCTCTTTATCATCTCAGAAAGTTGAGAGATGGAGAACATATCCGAGGTATCAAAAATATTTGATGTCACCAAGGTCCAGTATTTGGGCCAATCCCATTGACCTTTTTCAGAGCCTTGGTCCGAACATTATTAGATGATGGTAGGTTGGTGATTTAGAGATATTTTTATGGGGCATTTTACATACAGTATAACTATAAACTGTATGTCTGATAAATTCACTTTTAATTCTGCTACCAGGGGCGGACTGACAACTCATGGGGCCCCCGGGCAATAGGGGATCATGGGGCCCCTGTGTCCTTGCCCAAACACAAAAAAGCCTATGAAAAAGGTACCAGGGGCATCTCATGGGGCCCCCTACTGACACTGGGCCCTCGGGCTATGCCGAGTTTCCAAATGGTCAGTCTGCCCCTGTCTGCTACTTATTCAGTATGTATTGCTATTACTCTTAGCTTTGGACTCGTGTTCTCTATAAAGGGGATTTTTCTGAGGAAGTTTGGTTATTTCCTGGTTGGTGTATGCATTTAGTTAAACTGCCAGCACAATGGAAGGAGGAAGTATGAAGCCTTTTTGCTGTACGAGAAGGTGAAATGAAGTCTAGACCCACATATCATGTTATTCTGAGAGTATGACATGAAATTGTTACAAAATGTTTTTCTCGAGTGCCTATTCCATCATCCCTTTATTCTACCCAGTTGTACTAGGTGCCAAATAGATAATCAGTAGGATTCCAAAGTCTTTTGTTTAACTGGTTATAACAAGCAGGGTAAAATACAGCCAAGGCATTTTGGTGGCCACGGAATCCCCCTTCATCAAGGCTGGCACATGCCAAATGAGATGTTTGAGAGTATCAATGGGACTGTATTAACTTCAGCTGGCCACTTTTAATAACTGTTGTTACTAATGTTTCTCCATCTCTTAAAGCCCAACTCTGGGCTGTGCCTGCACTGCAGCGGTCAATTTTGTCTATGGGTTAGGAAAAGCTTCTACTCATCTGATCCTTCATTCCATTGGAAAACTGAGCTCCCCCACGGTTTAGCAGTGGACCGTTCCTGGTCTATGGAGCCTGCTCTAGGCTTGATGAAGTCAGGAACAGTCCACAACTCAAGACCGCCGAACTGGTCTTCTGCTGGAAGGATCGGAGGATTTTGTATATATATCTCCTTTCTTCTCTCCTCTAGATAAAAACAAGCAGTTAACGTGCTGTGCAGGCACAGCCCCACTGAATGTGAATATTTTTTTATTGGCCTAAGATGGGCTTTAAATTGTATGTTTATATGAGCAGGGCCCTGTTCATTTTCTGATTCATGTATTTACGGTTAAATCATTAAGATTTAGAAGTCATTTTACCCAAGGTCACTGTGTAAATTCATTTTTTCAACAATGTTCAGTACATAAATTGATTTTTGACGTAGGTTTGGAATCATTCTTTTTTCACCATAAAAAAGTGTATTCAAACAAATTTGTATTATTTAACATTTTTTCACAGCCTATAGAGTGAATATTGTATGTTCATTCTATCATATTAGCCAAGGTAACATTTTCTTGTCTATCTGTATGAACAGAAGATTTTGAGACACTGGAGCAGTGCATCATTGGCATGTATCTCTAACCAAGAGTACCCTACAGTACTCAAAGTTGAACCATTACTCCTCCCTGCCTGTATGCATGAAAACATCTGAAACAAAAAAAGTAGCCGAGTCATTGTGGATATATTCCATACTGTCAACACAAGATGCTCAGCCATAGACCAGTATTCAATGCTCAAAGGTGTTATGGTGTAACCAGTCTCAGATTCCTGTGCAGTGGTATGTAACTGGAAATACAGGGGCCACATGCAGCCTTCTTGTATTTTTTAGTCATCCTCCTGTCCATGAAGTTAGATTTCTCAGATAGTGAAAAGAGAATAAAATCTCTTAAAAGAGAAATTCGGGATTAAAAAAAAAAACAAAAAAGCAGTCATACTCACCTAGGTGGATGCAACATCAGTCCCCTGCCACTTCTACGATCGAGAATTGAACAATCAAAGATCGCTGATCACTTAGTTCTCGGTCTTCAGTGAGCAAAGAGCCGGTGACTGTCAGTCTCCGGCTCTTTGCTCTGCCCTTCCAGCACTCACTGGACCAGGCTGGTGCGGCTGGCTGATCAGGCTTCTGTGCGGATCCCGACAATATGGTCGGGATCCTTGCAGAGCCTGGAGTGGATCTGTGACATCAGCCGACAGTGGGCTTTAGGCCAATGGCGGCTGAAAATGGGTCAGAGGAGTGCAGTGCGCTCCTGTGATCCATAGAAATAGGGCCAAAAGAGATTCGGCCCAATTTCTACTTTAATGCGTGTCATTATTGTATTTAGTATATTAATTATTTTTTAAATTTATATTTACTATATATATATATATATATATATATATATATATATATATATATATATATATATATACCATCAGGCCAACAGTCAAGCAAATATGAAAGTGACAGGGGTTTGAACAAACTATAATACTGCCAGGGGTGCTTGACCAGTTGCAACTACATATAGCATAGAGGATATGAAAGGTTCTAGCTTGCCCCCAAATTCTGGACAGCTTGACAGCTATGCCCCTTACATTGGTGGTCAGTGGAAGGAATGGGTCTCCTTGCAATCGTGATCAAACAGATAAAAAGATAATTGTTGTCATGAGATTGACTGTGCAAAATAGTGTTGGCCCTGGGACTAGACAAGTGCCATCAGATGGGAGGTCAGTGAGCCACAGCTCAAGGAACCCAAAGCAACCTCTGGAGAATCCCCACAAAACCCTGGTAGAGAATGACTGGTCTAAAATGCTTTATTGGATCCTTTGCCACAACCAACAAAAGATCCATAACAACAGCCAGTTTTAGAGATGAATATTTTTTAGCAGTCTTCCACCTGGTCACTTGTCAAAATGGAGAAATTAAAACATTACTATAAAGTCTTTATTCTGTAGTTCCCCAGCTGGATCATCAGCTAATTCCAATGTTCTCATCATGATCAATATCTAGCTAGCACATTAGAAATATCTTTAGACTGATGACTCGGAAAAAAATCTAAGGTTATTTTATTACCTTCAATTAAAACAGGGTTAATCCCAGACAAGATGTAAGCAATCTTTTTTTAAATTGCTGATGATACCTTTGTCTTTTTACTGTAACCATACGTCAGTGCTTATGTTTACATGATAGAAATTTTTATGACTTCACTTTTCTCAGGCAAATGGCATGTAAATGTCAGAGGTGTTTAATAAGCACCAGCATTCAGACAACAGTTTTGTGTACTATATTTGACTTTTACTCATTGTGGTTCACAGTTCTCATTGACTAATGTTTGACCATAGAAGGGCTGGTGGTTTTTTATGACCCTTTCATGTATGTATATATTTCTTTGTATTTTAAAGGTTACAAACAAATGATAAATCAAGGCCATGTGAAGACAGTTAGTGACCTGTGAAAGATTTCCAGTACTACAGCAGTACTAAAGTTAAAAAGTATGGTCAAATTTCCTTGGGCTGGACATTCCAGTGATCTTGGACATCCCCAATACATTTTTGGTCATAGGCGTTTGCTGAACATGAAGAGTTGTGTGCAGGGCTGCTGCCCCCCCCCTCCAAAAAACAAATCTGTGATATTTTGCTAAAAATTGGTCAGATGAAAACTGTCCATATTACTCCTTGCCAACCCCCTCCGCCAAGGCAAGTTCATCAGTTGGTGTCTTATTGTATACATGCATCCAAGGTCAACATAACTTACACAACATAACTTACATCATTCCTGCTAAATCTAAAAGATATATCTGTATTGAGTTAATAAATAAAGCTCCTTGTGGATGAGGTCTGGGACTCATTCACATGGGTGCTGTGGACTGTACATTGTAAATCAGTGGTTTGTTTATGTGGCTGGAGCCACCTGGAACTGTCAGGCAGGTCTTAATTTGTCAGGCATGTGGATGCAGGTGTATGGCTTTGAACACCAAACAGTGTGCATTTGGGGCTACTCACCCACACCTGCACACCTGTCAAATTTTGGCCAGGGCCAGTGCTTCCATTAGGCAAACTAGGAGGCTGCCTATGGCATACTGCCACCTAGGGGCAACTAGGCGCAGCCCAGACTGGCACTCTCTCTGTGTGGAATGTTGCCATGTCATGAATGATCCTTCAGCTGAGGGGAGGGGCGACAGTGGGGGAGTAACAATGCTGGGTGTCTGGGGCTAGTGTAGCAGCTGAGATGCTGTTCCTTCCAGTGTTTCTCTCAGACTCAGTCCCTTTTGCAAGCCAGCTGGTGGCTGCTGATGGTCACTGTGGAGTCCCAGCCCTTCCCTTCCCATTCATCAGTGGAGCCGGTGTGCCTGCAGAGGAAGGTAATGTCTGACTCTGATGTCTTGTGTCTGTGTGAGTGTGGGCCGGCCGGACATCCATCACATGTTCAGTGTGTCAGTGAGTGATGACATCATCATGATCCCACAGCCTACTCTTTCTTCTAGTGTCTGCTGGGCCTACTGATATGTGTCAGTGTTGGTGGTGGTGGTGTGTTGTGTCGGATCTGTCACTGTGTGGGATCGCTCAGTTCAGGTGTTCTCCGTATGGGTGGGGCAGCCTGCTGGCACAGCATTTTATCTCCCCCCATTGCCTGGGAAATTCCAGCCTGGGATCTGTCAAAAAGTGGATCCATCATCCTCCACTCAGTGCAACTGTCACCCTGCCACTGCCAACCACAGATATAGTCCATCCGTGAGACTGATTTTGTCTTAAATATTGGTGCTGGTGGCATCTTATGACAGTTTCATGTTTTGTTGATTTAATATTTTCTACTGTTTAAAATGTTTTTATTTATTTTTGAGGGGGGGGGAGGGCGCAAGTAGCCGGTCTTGCTAGGGTGCAAATTAGTCTAGCAACTGCCCTGCCTTTGGCTGTGTTCATACAGTCACTACATCTCCACAGAATGCCTGGCAGCTCCAGCCCAAACTTCTCCTTCACACAGCCTGTATGAATGAGCACTTAATTATATTTTCTTAAACAATTTCTTTTAACAGCCCTGTTGGGAAGGGGGGGACAGGCTTTGGTGAAAAATCATTATGACAGACTTACCTAAAAAATATCTCTCTCCAGTGGGGCGTTGTCACCAATGACAGGGATTCCATCTTTGCCTTCCTTCTGGGTTCTTGGGCTCCGGCCAATTGAATGGCCAAGCCTCGATGATGTCACTCCCATGCATGCATGTGGGAGTCATGGTCGCAGTACAGCTTTCTCAGTGGACGGCATGCTGTCCATTGATGGCGCAGTGCACATGTGCCAGTGACATCATCGGCTGCTACACGTGCATGTTTAGGAAATATTTGCTGTACCTACAGGTAAGTCCTACTGTAGGCTGATCTGTAGGTACAAGAAAAAAGCAGAGCTTACTACTGCTTTACATAGATAGGTTGTAAATAGTTAAATCTGGGGAGGAGTGGGAAGCCGTGTGGGGATCTAGGATGCCAGGTAGTGGTCTGGGAGCTCTATGGGAGAGAAGGGCTGTAAG